GGGGGGGTGGTTGGTGGGGGGATTTGGTTCCGCACGGGGCCAAATGGTAGAGTTTCCACGTAAGTGGCACCCAGAGTTCGCCGTTGCGCATAAGGTGTCCCCAAACTGCAAGGCTACCAGGACAGGCTACAGGGGACAGAAGTCTGAGGAACCGGCCTAGGGTTAGGGTTAGGCCGACAGGGCACGGCAGGCCCGATCTGCCCGCGCTGACGTGGCCTCTACCTAAGGGTGAGTGGAGGGCTTGCGTCTGCAGGATCGTCAGACTCTTGCTTCCTGGTCCTGCTGGTCGCCTGTGGCGGGTGTGGCCCAAGGGATGCAAGCAGGTGTCTCCCGCTCGGCGATTTCACCTCCTTTCAAAGGGCACGGTTTCCTCCTGGTATCAGGTGCAATGGTGCGGTCAGCTCCGGGTTCCCCCGTCTGGAGAGTTTGGGAAGCAGGCCTCTGCGGACGGAAGCCTGAGCACCCAAGCTGGGCTTCGGGTCAGCTGGAGGGTGAGAGAGAGAGCTAGGGTTAGGGTTAGGGTTCTGTCTTTGGGACAAGGCGTGTCGGATCTGGCGACACAGACATGGTCTCCCCCAAGGCCTGAGGGGAGGGCGCGCTCCAGGAGGCTCCTCCGGCCCTGGGTTTTGGGCCTGCCTGGGCCCAGAGAGCGGAATGGCCTCCAGGGAGCATGCTGGGTTCTACCGCTCGGAGGGTCCTAAAGAGCACCCAATGAAAACGGTTTGCTCCTGACTGAGAGGCTGAGTGCTGCCGTCAGTCTGCGGCGGCTGCCATGCATGGGAGGAATTGGGTGTCAGGCCTCTGGAGCCCAGGTCCTGAACACGTAACCTAGGGTTAGGGTTTGGTCCTGGGAGAATGCCAGGCCCGACGTGCCAGTGCCAAGTGAGGCCCTGTGGAGGGCTGAGTGGAGGGCTTTGGCCTGGCGGCCCGTCTGGCTCCGGGACTTTGGGTGTGGGTGTCCTCCATAGGTGTGCTGGTCTTCAGGGGGGGTGTGGCGTTTTCTCCCGCCACGGGGGTTCTGCCCAGGGGTCCAATTGGTACAGTTTCCACGTGAGTGGCCCCCAGAGTCAGCCGTTGTGCATAAGGTGTCCGCCAACTGCAGCGCTACCAGGCCAGGCCACTGGGGCCGGAAGTCTGAGGAACCAGCCTAGGGTTAGGGTTAGGCCGACAGGGCACGGCAGGCCCGATCTGTCCGCGCTGACGTGGCCTCTTCCTATCGCCGAGTGGAGGGCTCGTGTCTGCAGGATCGTCTGACTCTTGCTTCCTGGGCCTGGTGGGCGCCTATCGTGGATGTGGCCCAAGGGATGCATGCAGTTGTCTCCCGCTCTGCCAGTTCAGCTCCTTTCAAAGGGCATGGTTTCCACCTGGTATCAGGGGCAATCCCGTGCGGTGAAGCTCAGGGTCCCCCCGTCTGGAGAGTTTGGGAAGCAGGCCTCTGAGGCCGGAAGCCTGAGCACCCAAGCTGGGCTTCGGGTCAGCTTGACGGTTAAGGTTAGGGCTAGGGTGAGGGTTAGGGTTGATGTCTTAGGGACGAGGCATGTCGGATCTGGCCACACAGGCATGGCCTCACCCAAGGCCTGAGGTGAGGGCGGGACTCAGGCCCCCCCGCCCCCGCCCCGCCTCAGGCCCAGGGTTTGGGGCCTGCAGGGGCGAAGAGAGCGGGAATAGCCTCAAGGGAGCACGCGGTCTTC